TCAATGGGGGGGAGGAGCCAGACATCTGTAATACTTTCAATAATAAAGATAAATTTTTTAAAAAAGTTTTCATTTACAAAGCTTTAAGTGGTGATAGCTGCACAGAAATGTTAATGTACTTAATGCCTCTAAACTGTACACTTAAAAATGGTTAAAATGGTAAATTTTATGCTATGTATATTTAACCACAATTTTAAAAAGAGAAAAATAAAAGGAGAGAAAGAAAAGGAGGGGAAATGAAAGAGAAAAAGAAGTAGAGAAGATGGAAACCCTCAAAACAAACCAGTCTGAGCACCTGCTGGTAGACACATTCAAGAAAAGCCTGCTGAGAGGAAGGTGCAGTTCACCAGGCCCTAAGACCACCAGTGAAGCAAGGGTCTGCCAAGAGCATGGGGTAGGTTGCCCTGGAAGAGTAAAATGACCCACCACATATTCATATAGAGCTTTGTCTCTACTCTAAGATGTGGGGCTATACAAGGATGTTCTTCACGCTTCCTAGGACCTAGGCTGTACCCAAATGTTACTGTACTTCCATATCCAGGGCTCCTCCTAGAGAGAAGATAATGATGTTTCCTTCATACCACATAAGCTAGGATCCTCTTAAACATGGAATTAAGTAAATGGCAATATTTTGGGTTTTGGTTAACAACAAATCAATGTACCAATACTGTTGAGAAAAGAAGCAAAGGTACTTCAGGGAAAAGAACCATGAGAAATCCACAGTATACTTCGTTGCTTTGCAGGTCTCTTAAGAATACTGTTTAGTATTTAAGCAGAATGGCCCCCACCCCAGAAAATACCGTTGGCCATAATTCCAAAGTAATAAAGTATGTTTAGTCCAGCTTCTAAATTTATAGCCACAAATGTAAATTGCAAGGCAGTACTTCCTTAATGTATGAACTTGAGGAGGGGGCAGATGTTTCAAAACGTAATTGAAACCAAATAAGCTTTTCTTCTTCTTTAAAAAAAAGATTTTTTTTTTATTTTAGAGAGAGAGGAACGGGGAGACAGAGAGGGAGAGAGAGAAACATTGATTTGTTGTTCCACTTATTTATGCATTCATTGGTTGATTCTTCTATGTGCCCTGATCAGGCAACCTTAGTGTATCAGGACAATGCTTTAACCAAGTAAACTACTCAGCCAGGGCAAATAAGCTTTTCCGAAAATATTTTTCATAAATATAAAAGCACCACTGAATATAATTTTATTACAAATTGATTGAGTTTATGTACCATACCTTAAACATATTTTCATTGTGAAGATATAGTCCACAGCAATGCCTCAATGTGACAAATGCTCAAGGATTTGATGAATGAATGAACGAGACCAAGCCTCAATTTGAGTTTGTTTTGGTAACAGGGAGGTGGCAAGAGAGGCTAAAATCTCCTTATTTTTTATATATCTATCAGGGCCTTATTTTGAATGCTATCACAATAAAATAATCTTTTATCTTTTCAATTCAATGCAACAGACACATTAGATCCCCCCTAGAAAGAATGAAGTAGGAAGACGGAATGACAAGGGGAGGAGGGAGCACCTTACTATGCCAGAAGGAGCTTCTCTAGTGATGACATATGTTAGATGAGAACTCAGGCAAGGTTAAGAGCCCCCATCTCACTTAACACTCGAGTGTTGACCAAAAACTGAGATGAAATATTTTACTTCTATAAAACTGATCTGCCACTCGACCCTTTATCTTAGGGAATATGGGGTAAGCTCACTATAAATATGATTTTTCTCATTCCCATCTGTAGTGTTTCACCTAGCATAGCATACTTGTTGAGGAGCCAAGTGCTAAAGAGAGAAAAACACTATTCAAGCAGTAGTTCCTAAAGATCTATGTTATGGGTTCAATTGTATCCCCCCCAAATTCATATGAAGTTCTAACCCCCAATACTTTAGAATGTGACCTTATTTGGAAATAGGGTCATTGCAGATGTACTTAGTTAAGATGAGGTCATACTGCAGTTGGGTGGGCCCTTAATTCAATATGACTATTGTCCTCACAAAAAGAAGAAATTTGGACACAGACAGGCACACAGGAAGAATGCCATGTGAAGATTAGAGTTATGCTGCCCCAAGCCAAAGAACTACCAGAAGCTAGAAGAGAAACCTGGAACAGATCCTTCCCTATCACCTTCAGAGAGAACATGGCCCTGATGACACCTTGATTTTAGAATTCTGGCTGCTAGAACTGTAAGACAATAAATACCTGTTTTTCTAAGCCATCCTGTTTGTGGTACTTTGTTACTGCAGCTTCAGAAAATTGATCCAGATAATAAGAGGCTCATGTGCACCAACCAGCCTACCCACTTCAGAATGCACTCAGATCCAGCTTTCCACCCCATTAGCCCAGGCCCCAACACCTCACCAGTGAGCTGCTGTAACAGCTGCCTAGTCTCTCTGACCTCAGACTCTACCTCTTCTTTCTTCAACTGCCAAACCCACCTGCACACCACCATGATATTAAACTTTCAAAGATGTCAACTTCCTTGCATCACTCTCTTGTTAAAAAAAATCTCTAGAGACTCACCAATTCCTATACCAAAAATCCCAGATTCTCCTCCCTAGCATTCAGGCCTCTCTCTTCTAAGCTAGCTCCAATTGCTAGGTGAGATTCCGCTAGTGATGCTAGAATATACAACCACTGTTACTGATGCGATGATGTCTCCTCCCTTGCTTGTCACTTTCCCTTTTCACCAACGCAAATCTTGACCACCCCATAAAGATTACTCCAAGATCTGCTTTCTCCTTGAAGGTCCCCCTATATACTGAAGTCCATAGCCAAGGCCACTTGTCTGCCCTCTAGGCAGTTGCTGCTCGTATCAGTCATTCTGTCCTCATCTCGAATTGCCTTGCATGATTACCTAGCATTTAAAAAGTGCACATTTTGCACAGATGGACTATGAGCTCCTTAAGTAGAAGGTTCATGTTTTACAATATTGGGGGTACTTCTCAAAGCCAAAGACAATGCTAGGCATATTATAGGAAAGTTCTAGATTCTTACTGAATTAGCTATTAAACATATATTTAAAATTCTTAGAAGTATTACTTTTGACTCTTCCTTCAACTGGGGACAAAACTGAACAAACCTACAGATTTCATGTAATCCTTATGGTTCCACATATATCAAATAATTTTAAACTTATAAGAAACAGGAGGAAAACTCCTCAGGACATTTAGTCCCAAGTTACTTACCATTCTTCATCACTACGTTGGACCAGACATTAGCATTCAAGGCTTGAACAATTCGCTTTACTCCTGTAGATTCTGGGAAGTCATCTAATCAGTGAGGTAAAATATATATATTTATACATCTACTTATATATGTGTGTATATAGATATCCAAGCCACATTTTTAAATAACTGTGGCTTAATTATTTTGCTTATTTAGTTGTTTCTTCACATTGTAACCTATATGAGAAAAAATTAAAGCAAATACCAAGCTCAGAGCTCCTGATAAGCATATTCTAGAAACTTCTTTAGTCAGTTTTGCTCAGTGGTTAGAGCATCGACACATGGACTAGAGGGTCCTGGGCTCAATTCTGGCCAAGGGCACATACCTCGGTTGCAGGCTTGGCCCTGGTCAGGGTGCGTGTGGGAGGCAACCAATCAATGTCTCTCTCACATCAATGTTTCTCTCTCTCTCTCTGAAAAGCAATGGAAAAAATATCCTCGGGTGAGGATTAAAAAAAAGAATATTCTAGAAACTAAAACAATGAGAAAAACACACAATATAAGAGGCTTATATAATAACATCATCGCCATTGCCTCACCAATGACACCTACTCATATTCTCCTGAAAACGTTAGTTTCCCTTAATTATACAATCCCGGGAGAATACTAGAGTACTACCAATCTTGGTTATTTAGAGAATGATTTTGCTGAAGGCAGGAATGGTCCCATTAGTATGCTAAAACATCCTGCAAAGGCCCTTTCTTCTCCTGGGAACAATAAAATAATTATTGTTTATAACTCATATCTAGAGAACAACTTCCTGATCAGAGAAAGATAGTTCAAGAGTGAGAAGTTAAGTTACTATAACCAGAGTGTAAGAGATAGAAAAAGTGTCATTAAAAATACCCGACAATTTAGTTAGTTTAGTATTGGTATTATCCTGCTTCTGAAATTTAACTGATACTACTCTAAACAAGGCACTAATCCCAGTTAGCACACCAATAATAAGGTGGTATTCTTAGTTACACTGTAGGTATGAATGTGTATAAAGGAAATGGAGATCCTTCAGATAATGAGTATTACAAGACTGCATATGGCTGAAAGGACAAAGTCTCTTACGAATTTACAGAGCACAGTACACATTGAACCTGTCTCTAGTGGAAGAGCACAGAATTAGAAGTCGGAAGATCTGAAACTGAATCCAGGCTCTGCAACTTATTAGCTATTTGATCAAGGGCAAATATCACTTATGCTATTCTAAAAGAAAAGTGGGGATGAAACCACTCCATGCACGACTCTCCTAGAGGAACAATGCGTAGAATTGGTGATTTACTAGCGTAACCTTCTCCTCTAGCCCGGATACTCCCTGAAAGCAGGAATCATGTCTTGCTGAGTTCATTATTCCCAATGCTTACATAGTGCCTGAATGACAGCAGGCCCTCAGTAACTGCTGGACTGATGATCGCTTAGAGAGTACCAACCTACCAACTTAACAGAAATAGGGTGAGGACTGAACCAAAAATACTCTACAAAAATGAGTTTATCATCATCAATGCTTAAATGAATAAAGGGCATGTTTATCTTAACTATGAATGATTTAATTCTTGAAAAAATAATACTTCAGATGATATAACCAGGAACCAAAAATATGGCCTGAAGAGCCAATAAGATGAAATTTAATACAAATAAGCATAAACTTTCATACTGATGTTTGAATAATACATGCAAATAAAGGACGATGGTATATGGCTTAAGAACTGTTTGCATTAAAAAATTCTAGGAAAGTTTTAGTTACACTGCCTAAAGATGATATGTCAAAATCTACTTTAAGATTAAGCTGAACTGCCCAGCTAGCATGGCTTAGTGGTTGAGCATCGACCTATGATCCAAGAGATCAGGGTTCAATTCCCGGCTCGATCCCCGGTAGGGGGCATGCAGGAGGCAGCCGATCAATGACTCTCTCATCATTGATGTTTCTGTCTTTCTCTCCCTCTCCCTTCCTCCCTCCATACACACACACACACACACACACATACACACACATATATAAAGATTAAGCTGAGTTCATCTAAGAACATTGTTCAGACAAGGAACAAGAAGAAGTGTAGTGGTATAAAAAAGCAGAGATTCTAAAATGAAAACAGATTTAAATAAATGACTCAAATGTCAACTCTCAAGGACAATAGGAAGGAGAGAAAATTCTAGAGAAAAATAAGCGACTACACACATGCTCACATACACAGAATAAGGCACAAGTTTTAGGGGACCTAGAAAAACATGGAGGGAGAAATTGCACTTGTTAATGTTCAATATTCTTAAAACTGTACAGGGAGAAAAATTAACCTTTTTATTTCACTTTTGTCTTCTTCTCTGGCAAGGTTTTATTCCCAAAGGTAATATTTTGAAAAAAATTCTAAACAAGCTATAATATAGAAGGACATTTCTTAATTCCTTTAAAATATATGTTTCATATAAGGATTACTTATATCCTATCTATGTAATTTAATTCGTATTGGTTGCCCCTGCCTAGAATGTCTTTTGGAACAACTGGCATCTTTTCAATGCCAACTCCTCATCAGTCCAGTCCTCTAAATACAATTCCAGTACGTTTTCAATTTCTTCCCCATGAACCAGTTGACAGGTGAGAGTTCATGGTACCAATTCATTCTTTAAAATAATCTCTTCTGTCTCTGAAATACCACAGTACCAATATTTTTTAATAAAACGAATGATGCCCCACTTGGCAATTCAATTATTTATATAGATGTTTTATCTCTTGTGCCAGATGATAAGGTTTTGATGGGCCAAAATCTGTCTTATCTTGGTAGATCCCATAGTAGCTAGCATAGGTGTACTTAGAAGTAGAGATGAGAAGAAAAATGGGGGAGGGGAAATGAAAGGGAGAAGAAATAGAAGGTCCAGACTGCAGTAGAAGGCAGTTAAATGCAGAGCTACCCCAAGAGGGCATTATGAGTCTATTTTTGGTTTCAAATGTCCAAAAGACATACAAATAGAACTGGCATACCTATGGTTCTTGGGAGTTCAGCCTTGGGTTACTAGGAATTCAAAATGAGAAACAAACTTTACCTATTTATGAATATAAGTCAAACTCTCTTTTTCAGATGTGGAGAAAGGATAAGCAATTAGGAAAATGACTAAGCTTTAAGGCAGAAATCCTCTAGCTTTATGTGTAAGAAAAACAAACATTTCAAAAGCCCTAAAATGGATTGTGAACCCAAATAAATGGATTATTTGATTAATGGTAAGACCACATCAATGGATTTTGCACAAATCTTTTCAAGCACTGGG